TTTTTTGTTTGTTTCTTCGCAAAGGTGGAACATCGAGGAACCGAAATTTATCACTGCCATCAGCGCAGCGGCGACTTCTTCTGCGGTTAAACAAATGGAAGCTTCGAAAGAACCGAAAGCCGAAAGAAAAATGGACGGTGCAAAACCGGCAGTTAGTGAAACGAACAAGGAGAAACAGATCGAGAAGCTCGTGTCAATGGAAAAGAAAGTCGAAGTGTGTAAAAATAATTTATATCTATACGTTCTTACGCAGTTGACGCAATGAGAAGGCAGTTTCCAAAATTGAACTCTTGGCTTTTTGCTCACATTCGTAATGGAAGCAAATTTTCATACTGATTTTTCTTTGATCAAAGTAGATTTTTGATAGCGCGTTTCCTTTCTTACACACGCGGTAGTAAATTTTTATATTAAATTATTCTTTCATTGAACGTTTGAAGAGGAAAGTATATTTATAAATATTATTATTATTACATTTTTACAAATATATATTAATATTTATAATTATTATTATTCAACTAATCAGGTTGTATGTATTGGTACAGAAATAAAAATTTCACTGTTGAAAGTACTGATGAATTTTTAACGCGTATTAAGAATGGACTTGATTTTTGTCAATTGACAGAAATTATTGGAGCTACCTTCTCATTAGGACGGTCTTTTCAATTTACTATATACGTTGAGAATTTAATACGCTGTATTTTTTTATCTCGTGCCGATTCAGGAGAAATCCGGGAAGATTGTGAAAGAAGTTACAGAAACAACGACTTTACGTGTGTCCCACGACACTCGTTTAGGCGTCGCATCTTACAAAGTGATATCCAACACCACGCAAGATCATCGAGAAAACGTTGATGTTAAAGAAATCAAGGATCTCGAACGCATCGTGTTTCCGGATGTTCAAACGAACGGATTACACCACGAGACAGATTCTGGTTGCAAATGTAAGACTTTTCACACCGTTTCAAAATATAACAATAATCCTACAACACGATAATATACTGTTACAGTATGTTACACATTATTTTAAAGTAGAGCAAGAATTTTATAATCAGACTACAGGATTTCTTATGCGTTCGCGAGAAATTCAGATTCTATTCCTTTAATTAAATTCACAGAAAAGGTTGTAGAAAAAAATTTGAAACATATACGATATGCGTTAAATACGTTTCATACAAAAGTTTGTTAAGAATTGTACTTTTTTTTAAACAGCGGATTCGTACAGTCGCAGAGACGAACTGTCAACGAAAACGGACGACGCCGAACGCGTGATCAAATTCGCGAAGATCTGCGAGATCAGTCAGGAATCAAGGACGATCCCCGTAGAGATTTCAAAGGATGGCACGCTGTCTTTGGAGCATAGGCGACATCGCGAGAGTTGTGGAATCGAGACAACGCCGACGAGGGTGGACGAGAATCACGAAGGACAGGATTTCCTCGATAGGGCGAGGAAGGTGAGTTCGGTCGAGGGCCCCTCGATGAATGGCGATCGGAAAAACGGATGTTGCAACTGCAATTGCAGTCGCGAGGCTGCTTGCTTCGATCGTTTGTCCGCGCAGCAGAATCTCATCGAATTTAACAGCGTTAATGAGAATCGACGTTGTGTGTCACTGTCTAACGCAAGCTAGCTAGAGTTTTGTGTGATCTGTGTGCTTCTATGTTTTCTCATCAACTTGTTTCTGTACGTTCAACCTGGTTAAGTACATGTTTCTATGAAGCTTCACATTGTTACAATTTGATACAATTGTCTATGAAGTTGCGTTATGTGTTAATATATTTTTAAAAATGTTGTCTCTCACCGCGCGATCGTTCTGCGAGAGTAATTACGATCTCTTGATGACTTACTTTGTATTGTAACCTCTGTATATACAATATGGCAAATGAGAGTTTATATCGCGTCCCCCGCGTGAATTTCAATATTTTAATTTTACTGAAGTTTGTAACTATAAACGGAGGATGCCACGATGTTAAAGTTCTTCCAATTCGAACACTGAGCCAGATAATCGCTCCAGAAGTGCTGGGTTGAACTGATTACAAGCAATAACCGCTCCAATGATACCTAACTCCTTCGTCGTTCAAAGAAAATCAAAATTAGTACGTACTTAAGTAACGAGCAAACGTTTCTCCAGTTCGAACTGTGTGCATAACTGTTATAACAAACCGATGTTGCGTGCATGGCTTACGTTTGTAAATAAAGCGTTATCCAACAACAGTCAGAGGAGCCTCGTGTTTTGTACCTTGAACGTAAAGAGAACCGGTCACGTTTCGAACGAAAGGAGATTATCGGCAATTAGAACGAGCTTGCTTTCTCGTTATCGCGTTGACGTTGTTTCGAATGTGGCGGGTCACGAGCTACTCATGGGTATTTCGCGTGCAATCGGTAGCGCTCGGTCGTGTTCGGTTGTGCTCGACGACGCGCATGCGCGGCCAAAGCACTTGGGCGGCATTCGAAACGGGACGAATCGGTCAGTGTTGAGTCGACTGGCTTCTGCGACCGATCGACCGGTGACGAGACACGATTGTGACATGTGTCACGCGAGTGTTCTTGCTGCTGCGGTTTACGTTGTGGCTGTCATTGCTTGAACGTGGGTCGATTTAGGTGACTGCTCGACAATTAATCAGATAATAACGTAACGCAAACCGATCTTTCCGAGACTTAACTCGATCGACTTTAAATTTTTTTTTCTTTTTTTTTCTCATTTTCTATCCGAGAATGGAATTTTTCCGATTCGTCTCGGTCTTTTTGTAATCGTGCGAATTCTCGTAGCTAAGTAGAATGTCAAAATCGATGAACATGGTCGTAATGAGAGGCTAACAACGACAGACGTAGAGAGGTTCTTCGTTCAAGTAACGTGTAATTTAATTATCATTCGCTCCACGAATCGCGGTATCCAATTTTCTCTGCGAACAAGTGAGGTAATACGGTTTTCAATACAAGCTCACCGATCCGCGACACGTAACGGGGGGTCACACACTTTGACCAAAAACCCGTTCGAATCGTCACGTTTCTCGCTCGACCTGGATTCCATCTCGTCCTTGGAGCATGCTGCTTCACGAGTAGCTCTCGTCTCTTTTACCTTGAGAAGCGCCGTTAAAAAAGAAATGTCCGATCGTAACACTATCGTTCCCGGCTGAAATCATCTTACAAAGCCGTTTGTTCACTTCGTGCGTGAATTTATCGTTGCCTCGAAGAAAGCACGAGTATCGTGCTCGTTCTCCAAAGTTCCATCGTCCGGTGATACACGTATACATGTACGTCGTCTATATCACATCTCATTCTCTGTTAAATAAAATAAAAAGAAAAAAAAGAACAGAAGCGATATCGAGGAAACGTTCGATGAATATTCCACCCCTCCTCTCACTCTTTAACGTTTCTCCAGTAGCAGCGATCGTCAGAGAATAGATAACGGCGTAATTAGCCTGGCATAATGCCACCGATAATACCATAATACCATCGTGCATTGTTCCACGAGGATGGGCAGCGGACGAAGGAAACGCTTCCGGACCGCGAAACCCGTGAACCGTGGAACACCGCCGATTTCAACCATCGGCTGTGTTACACGCGATCTCGCTTAATTTCACGTCGTCTCTTTTTCCACGTCGGGATCGTCTCCGCGATCGCCCGCGGGTCGCGACGTGGTGTGGCGAACCTCTCGTTCGGAGAACGCCACCAGTCAGTCCGGTTTTATCCTCCCATTCGTTCGTCCGTGTCGGTGACGTCACCTCACAAAGATACCTATAAAATATAAACATACTGACATTCGATCGAGGAAGGCGAGACGCGGCATTTATTTCTTTTTTCTTTTTTTTTTTTTTCTTCTTTCTTTCGCCCGGCGAAAATTACAGGCGAATGATCGGTATCGACGTTCTCGGTGATTCGATTTCGATCGAGGCTTATTATTATTTTTTTTTTCTTTCTTTTTTTTCTTCAGACTGAGCTCGTAATGATAGTGTTTTTTTTTTCTCCCCTCAAGAGGCTGGTGCATTAGACTTGCCGGATAGTAGTAACGAGTATATATACGAGTATTAGATCAGAATCGAAAGTGGATTGCAGCCGAGTGGATCGTTATCGCAAGCAGATATCGCGAGTGGCGTTCAGGTGTTAATTGTAAGTGGCTGGTGAATTGTACGTCTTGTTGAAAAGTAGATTCGAGTTGAGTACGAATGATTCGGTCTCTCTCTCATCGATGTATCTTTTTATTTACTGTTATCTTATCTCGGAAATTTTCGAGGGGATTGGAAATGGTGAAATTTCTAAGATTTCATTCTTTTATTCAGAACCTCGGACAGACATTGATCTGTACGTCTTCGTGGAAACGATGTATCTTTTAATTTGGAATTTTTATTTCTTCTTGAGGTATTTAGTTCTATTGAGAAATTCCATTGAGAGATGATCGTTGAATGACATATCTTCGTCTAAATAAAGCATATATTGAACTTAAGTACAAATTGTTTGTTCGTGATTGGTCATCAGAAAGTTCTTAGGGTGATTTGACTGTTAGAATTCTTTCATTCAATAGATAACAGTATAAAATTTGTTCTACATTTGGTAAACATTTGTTCTACGAATTCTCTGTGCAACAATTTTTATTAGTCTTGATCAATCTTTAATAATTATAGAAACAAGAACCTTAAAGATAATTGAGCTCCTAAACAGTTTATAAATTCTTAATTTTGGAAATTTCCTCTTAATCTTCCAATTGCGATTGCACTGAAATAGAAAAGTTTCAGAACTTTCAAATTTTTTTCCAAATTATTCATAAACGAAGCATCTACAATAGTTGTCTCTCATTCTTAATCATTATCTTTCTTCTAAGCTAATACTAAGCAAAAGCAATTATCTTTGAAGAAAAATCTCTCAGATAATAAATCTACTTTTTTATCATAATAAACTAACGAACGAAATTTCTAGACTCTTTCAAAACTATTAATTTCAACTTTATCTTTCAATCGTTCAGTTATAAATTCTTCCTTTTGAATCGAATATTTCTAAAACAAATCCTCTTCTAAATTCTTCCAAGAGACTCTTAAATTCCATTTGAACGTTTCTTTACCATTCTCCAATGCCACAAATCTATCAAAGTAAACTAATTAAAGATTGATCAAGAACTACCTTTCTAACCAAATTTCCAACCTCTCTCAATTCTCACTTGAAAATCATTCTTCGATCTTCCAATCACGAGCGACACATTCGATCTATCAATCATTGCCTACTAAACAAACATCAAAAAACTCGAATCAAAACAAATTCGTCCAAATCTTTAAAAATTCTTTCAAACCTCTCTCGAAATCTCACCAAAATGCTTACTTGCCTCCAAGAGTGGATGAAAACTTTCGTCATTTAAAGAACTTGGATCGAAACCAACATCTCTGGAACAGACTCGTTCCTAACTCCTCCTTCGAAGCTCCTAAATTCCATTCGAACCGTTTCATCTTCGTCCGAATATCGAATGGAACATCTAGGATTGCCCGGTGCAATCACCTCTCCCCACTGTCGATCGTTATTTCGGTCGCTTTCGAAGGGCCGATCGGCACCAGGATTTTTCTCCTAGGGAAGAGAAGGGAGTTGAAGTTCTCGAAGCAACGATTCGGCACGCCTGTCGGTGTCCGCAGAATTCGCGCGTTTGGCGAATCGCCAAAAATAACGTTAATCGGTAGAAACGGCCCGATGGTAACTGGAGAACGTAACCGGCCAACGGCGTTGGCTTCCCTGGGAAGATCTCGAGGGAAGATGAAAGAACGGCCAGTGACGAGCATCAATTTTCGACCAAGTCGAAAATATTTCCGCGTGATAACGCCACGTTCTCATCTGGCAGGAACGCGGACGTGCTTTCACACGTTGATCAACGTCGGAATTAATTCGGCGGTGGATAGACAAGAGCTATTAAACTTTCGTTGCGTCTCCTTCATGCGTTGAACGTCGTTGGAAACAGGCCAATCGAATTCCGCGTTTCCACAGGAATACAGCCACGGTTGAATTCCGCGTCGCGAACTTTGATCTATCTATATATTTGATAGAAAGTCTCGGTACTTGCGATTCGTGGGTGTAAAATGTTTAACTTGTTCGTGTAATGCAACGTGCCGAGTGTACTCTCTCGTTAGAAAGAGTACACTCCGCACGTTACATTGGAAATTCGTTTGGTTTCAAGTTGGGTCTAAAGGTTTATATTAAAGATTTTTATCAATCGATTTGACGATACTTAGCTAGTACTTAGAGGTGATAGTAGAAATTAATCAACAAGTAATGTGAGCAATTGGAACTGGATTTGAAGTATTTTAAATTTAATTCGTGTTTGATGTTTGGACATTTGAGAGTTCGACAATTCGAGAATGGGGGAACGTAGAAGTCTGGATATTTCAAGATTTGAAGATTTGGGAATCGAATGATTTTCATATTTAAAACTGTAAAAGTTGGAAAGTTTGAAAGTTACAAAACTCGAATCTTCAAAATTTGGACATTTGAAAATTCGAGAAATTTATAGATCAGGAGTTTTCAAAGTTCGCAAGTTCGATCGATTTTTGGAAATTTAAAATGCAGAGTCTTAAACTTAAAAAAAAAAAAAATGTGTACGTTCGAAAATTTAAACTGAAAGAATTAAACCTCTGAGTACTAAATTTTTCTGGTTTCAAAAATTAAAAAATTTCGAACTCCAAAATTTTCCTGTCCAAATACTTCGTCTAACATTTCCCCAAAACTGTGAATCATCTCTATCTCAAAATTCAAAGCAGCTAAAAAAAAAAAAAGAAAGAAGTACTGATATTCAATGATATCACGATCGAAAATAAGTTTGCTACTTCGATGTCAAATCCAGTCCGAAAGTGCTTTTCACACGTTACTTTACACTTGGTATCGAGGTAACGAGTATAAAAAGAACGACGCGAAGAACGGGGCTCGGGACGATCGCTGAATCGATCCACGCCGATAGCTCGAACGATTCTGTTTTGCCGCGAAAGAGAAGAGTTACGAGAATGGTAGACGGGCACGACTCGATGGAAACGACGGAGAACAGCGAGGGACCTCGTGAGAAGGAATCACGAACGATAGTGGAGAGCAACGAGGATGCACCGCAACAAACCACCAGTCCGACGACCACCACCATAAGCACCATAGCCGTGCAGAGCGGTGAAACGCGTCTGGTGATCGCTCTACTTCAAGTAAGGAGCATCGTACCTTATCGTAGACGACTAATGTATTAATGTCTCGCCGCGATAGACGACAGCCGTTTTTTTTTCTTTCCTTTTTTTTTTTTTTTTTTTTTTTTGCAACACTATTCCACCATCACGATCTGAAATATTTTTAAATTTAGACAACGCCATGGGGATTTCTTTCTTTGGTTGAGGTTTAATTTTTCTAGATTTCTTTTCGACGATTCTCTCGCTGCACGAATTTTTCATTATTTTAAAATTTAACGTATCGGAGATACAGTAGAATGTTATTGAAGAAATTTATAACAATTTATTCGAGAACGAGTAAATATATATTTATCATCGTATTCTCTATTTGTACATCTTTAAAAAAACGTACATAATAAATTTATGTGTTTTTCTTTGTCTCGATTATTAGATTATTAGATTCGTTTTCGTACAAGAATCGAATTAATATAATTACGTGTCTCGACTAATTCATTTTTTTTTTTTTTTAAATACCTGACAAAAAGTAATTTTAATTTATATCGAATTATTCTTTATTTTAGTTAACAAATATCGACCGATTCTCGATAGACAGAAATTATTTTACAATGTCATAGCTTGCCTGTTCTCAGAATAGTTTTCATTGCAATCCTCTTTGAATAATTAAATGTATGATGTCAGTGCGCGTGAAGGAATTTACATATCGGATATTAGTTGACATAATGAAATCAAAACTTGTTTCAAAAAATCGTTATTGAAACAAACAGTAAAAATAATTATTTTATTCGACAGTCAAATAATAAAATATGAGTCGAAATTGTTTAATTTAAGTATTTATACTAATTATTTTTCAAATAATGCCCAATAATATATAATTTTTATTTATAGATACTGTATCTCGAATGAATCAAGCATTGTCATTGCACTTCTCGTGCAGAGCAATTAAACCTAGAAATTTTATTTCATCTACGATCAAGTGTCTTTTTTAGACGCACCTTCTCTCTATCGCTCTTCGCGTCACTTTGAATCATTTGAATTGCAAGAAATCTCACAACAATTTTAAGAAACGATGAACAATATATCGCAAAGATAATATAAAACTTGCAACATTAAATGGGAGTCCTAAAAATACACTGTACAGATATTAGGATGGAGATCGTCTTACCACATTCTCTTTCATCCTTTTATCACGAAACTTAATAGAGACTGGGTTTTAAATCCAAACGATAAACAATTGTTAATATTTATTTCCCGTAAAATATTGAAAATATATTACTTTTTGTATTATAATATATTACTAATATGTTACTATAATATATTACTGTACTATAGTATATTACTCGTACTATATTATAATATATACTAATATACTAAAGTATATTACTTTTTGTATTATAGTCTTGACGATAAAAAAAATTCATTGTTTCCTATATCGTAGGAAATTATTCTGAACCCTATCCGACGACAGAGAGACAATAATCTCCAATATGGTCGATTCTGAATTCTTTTCTTAACTCTCCTTAATTTTCACATTTAAGTATCAAGTTAACTTTTGAGTTTTGAACATCTGCCTTTTGACAACCATTCAGAGAATTCTCTACTCAACAGACTTCGTCCTTCATCAAAAGATTAATAATTCAGACTAAGTTCTACCCTAAGGACAATAACCATAATTTTACCATCCAATGAAATTACGTGTCAAAGTCCAACGACCGTTTTACCATCGGGGTCTCATCGACGACGAGTCGGCGCGCGATTTTCTCTATCGATCGTACAAAGCAAAAAACAGCATATATTAGAGCGTCGTGGCTGTCAGAGTGGCATCCGAACGTCGTGATATATGCTTTAGGAAGCATTTCGGTGTCGCTCGATCGCGTATATTCAGGTAGAGGCGAGGTGAACCAGCCCGGTCTCGTAGCCGGTCACGCGCGTCCATAATCTATGGTGTTAAGATATTTCGGGAGTCGCTCGAGTCCATAGCTATTTCCGAGTCCTCTCGAAACCGTGAGCGTTTTAGGTATCCCATCGAGCAAAACGAGCTCTCGGAAACTCCGCGAAGGATAAATTTAACCGCTTAACCGCGGGTTCCTTCCCTTGGAGAAATCGCGCCGCCGCCGCTTCGACCCAGGGCCAAACCGTCTCGTCTTCGTTACGCCGAAAATAATTGCACGGGACGCGGTAACGGTCCCAACGGTGCCACCATGGGCTACGTTGTATCGGCGTACATATGTACGCGCGTAGAATCGCGTGGCACACGCGAGAAAGGACTTGTACACGGAGAAAACGCACTTGTTGCGCCGCGATTATGTAATTTTCTCGAGGGATACGCGATCGTGTACGGCACTCGTTGCGTATACGAACGCTCGTTCCAGGTATTTATAGACGCAGCTGCTTTTTCAGAGACGCGTTATCGACGTGCAGCGATTTGTTCGCGGGATTTTGTAACCAGTCTCGGAGAAAGGGTTTAAGAGAGAAACGTAACAAAAGAACGAAATTTTTCAATGTTTGACACGAGTCCTCCTTCATCGCGTACATGAGTTTGAAATTTTTATATCCTTGTGCTTGCAGAGTTATTTCATTTCGTTAATTTCTGTCACAGAAACAACATGCACTTATTATACTAGGAGACTAGCGTAGATTATCTTACTGAACTTCGCGTCTTGCCCTTCTACGCGTTATAAATGAATTCGCAGAAGCCAAACTGAAGTAGATATAATTATTTGAAAAACTTTACACGTCAATTGTTTTTAATTTTAAAGTTTCTTTAACTTTTTAAAGTCTCGCCTTTCTTTTTCTCGACGTTTCAATGCAATTGTTATATTAATGAGTGTACTAGTGTAGTATCTCAATTTCGCTTCGAAATTCAAGATCCGATTTTGTGATGTGGAAGCAAGTGACTTGAACAATACCGAGATATATCAAGTACGTTTCGCTCTCGTCTGTCTGATAAGTCTGAAGGAACGTGTCAGACCGTCGTCTGGTATACGCCAATTTTCCGAACGTGAACGCTCGTCCAAGACGGGGAGGATTACCATCTAGCAATTTAGCAATTTGTTTCGTGACGGTGATTCGCGAGCTCGTGGCTCATAGAGATATTATCTGGCGATGCACGGATAAAGGTTCGTGCAACTTGACAAACGTAGACGACAGCCGTGATTTCACCTTCCTTCTCTTTGCTCCTTTCTATTTTTCTTCCGCTTTTGCTTCTTCTTTCTTCTCTTCTCTTCGCTTTCTTCTCTGTCCTCGCATGCTTTATACACGTCACGCGATCCTTATCACGAGAACACGTGATAACAGCGATGCAACTGGTTCCATTCCATTACATCACGGTATTATCAGTTACAGTTACATCGACGATGTTATCGATCACACGCCTCTCGGAATATTCATTTGCATTTCGGGCGAGAATCGTTTCCCCGGCGTCGAAATAATGACTCATTGTTTCAAACGACGATCGTTAGTGTGGGACGTGGTTCGTCTCGTGGATCGTCAGGAAGTTAATGAACGCGCTAGGGTAATTTACAAATTACCGGATAATTTTAGAAAGGTTGCAACCCTCATCTGTTTCTCGTGTCGATTTTGCAACTCTATTTACGTTATTAGTCGTGAATATTTGTGAATTTTCCCGCTTGGAAATGTATAAACATGTTACCTTCTGTTGTGATATATCCGACAAAAATTTATATTAAAAAAGCTTACTTACTGTCGTATAGTAACTAAATATACCTAAAGACTATTTCTCTAAATTATTTCAGTGACACAATGAAATTTTACAAAAGGAAAACTAGCCAAGTCCAACTAGCTAAAACTCAGTCAGTCAGTAGTCAAAATGAATTAGTTTGAAATTTTCTAAATTCTTAATGATCGAACTTGACTGACTTTTCTTGCACTGTAATTTCTCTGATACAACTATCAATAATTCCAGCATCGAACTCCTGCGAACACGAACATTCACAAAAACACCTATGTACGTCTTCCCCTTCGACTTGTATAATTCCGAAATAATTTTATTACTTCATTGATAAAATCCACGTGCAAATGATTTGAGACACGAGGGCACGTTTTATCTGATGGTTAATTCCATGAATGCACGTTGTCGCAGCGGCTGGGCGAAAAGGACCGGCAGGTAGGCAGACGCACAAAGAGTTTGGTGTGCGCGCAGGTCGATCCAGGAGGATCTACCATGGCATGGATCTCTCGGTGTGTACGTTCTCGTGCAATCTAACAAACCGGTATTATAGGAGACGGCGGGCGTGATCCTTCCTCCGCGCCTCTGCCTATATCGTACCTACGACCTTACGACACTGACTCCTGCCTCCGAAGGGACCGATGAAAAAGAAAAAGGGAAATAAGGTGGACGGGGCCAAAGATGGGACCCCATGGTGGCGGTACAGTCGTCTTCGAGTACCGCCTTCGATCCGGGTGCCAGATAGAACGCCGGTTTTCAAGCTCGCGTCGCTGAGGTAACGTTGTTCCATTGCCTCTTTTCGATGTTAATTCGTCCCTTCCAATCTGATCGCCAACGCCCGTTTTATTCAACTGTACATCCTCGTTCCTTTCGATGGAAATTTTCTTATCGCCGAGTATCTCTACGTTTGGTTATTTCTTGAGAATTTTTTTTTTTTTCTTTTTCTTCTTCTCCGGACACGTTTAACAAGTTGCAAAGGTGCGTCTGTTTCATTCATCTGTACAGCTCATTTTTCTTTCGACGAAGAATCTTTTTATCGTTAGTTCTTATTTAGTTGTTCCTTGGACATTGGAAATTTTTTTGATATTTGAGAACGGAGAATTTTATTTTACTTTCGGCAGGAAACTTTCCCGTCGCTATGTTATTTCACGAGAATCTTTGAAAACGATTTTGCATTTAGTTGTTTGATTTCTGATTGAGAAGATATAAACCGATCGCCCACGCGGGAACCATTTCTTTTGAAGAAATTCTTTCATAACTATTCTTCAGGAATTTTAGAATAGGTAGAAAGTTCTACGTACGTATATTTATCTAATATAAACACAGAATCTATATA